TACAAGAAGCAGGAGCACGGTCTTTCTGCAGCTCAGCTTTAGGCCCTGGGTGAGAGGACTGTGGTCCCCACACTTTCTGACGGGTTCATCCTTGTGCAGAGCTCATTCGTGTTGCTGCCCCTGATGCCCCTGGGCAGGGCCTCTCTGTTAGGCTTGCTTCCTTACAGCCTTTGGGCTTTTTTACTTGGGTTACAAACGTCCTACTTTGGTCATTCCTATTAGCACAGAATTGGACCCATGGGGGCAGACTTTGGGCTGTCTGAAGCCAAGAATTAATATATGGGAATTGGTCAGGGTGTCTGGGAGTCCAGACCATAATTTTGTAAATGACCTATACAGTGGGTAGGTCTTGGGGTCCCTCAGCGGGCCACTTGACCCCAAAGGTGGCCCATTCCAATTCACATAATGTGCCTAATTTTCCAGATGTTTTGAGCCCATAGTCTCCTGAGAATCCCTTCTTAAAATTTTGAGCATACAGTCTAAGATGGTAGGTTTTGAAGAGCTTCCACCCATGATGAACAGGGGGGTTCTCTTGGCATAAAGACAAATGAAGGGTGGGTGTCCCTCCAAAGGAGAGACCAGTCAGATGCCCACCTGTCTGCCATCCCAGAGGATACCTGTGTGCCTCTTAGCCATAGCAAGTCCATATAAACCCCGGACTGCCGCCCTGAAGGGGCTTGCCTTAGACCCTATGAGGTCACCACAGAAGCAGTTTAGGGCCACTCAGACTCCTCAGGCTTCTGGGTACCCTAAGGGTGCCCACCCGTGGAGCCACAGAATCAGTCCGCCTGACAAACCAGGTCAAACTGCGCATTCACAATGAAATTATTACAGTTCCTTCCCCCCAGGGGGCCCTGACCTGTGGAATTCCTTTTGGAAATTCCTTCTTATCCCCCCTTACAGGGGTGTTCTTGACCTGAAGGACCTTCCTGCCTGGGAGGCCCTACCTGTGAGACCTCTAAGAGGTCTCTGGGGAGGTGATCAGTCTCCCCATCCACCCTCAGTGGTAGGCTGACTGGGTCCTGGGGCCCTGGGCTTTACTGGAATCCGACACTGGGACCAGGTCCTGACCTACCAAGTCTCCTTTGAGTCCAGGTGGGAACAGTGGGGTGGGCCAGCCTGAGGCAACTGGGTGGAAGACTGCAACAAATTAGGCAGGGTGCACCTTCTCCCTTAGATCCCTCATTCCATCACTGACCACCATTGCTCCAAACCAGTGGCAACAATGTGCCAGCGCAGTTGGGTTTCCCAGTCAAGGAACCAATGTTACAGACACTGGACTGGATCCTGGTGGAAGAACCAAGTAGCACTCAGAGACTTTGGAGGATCAGAGGTTTATTTAACACTGATGGGTTCAGAGGAGGTTGTTCTCCAAAGGTCTGAGCCCCGGCAGAAGCAGGCAAGGGAATTTATACCCTTCTACTCCCACATACGTGGTACTTTTGGCACATGGGGAATGGGGTAGGAAAGAAGAACCCGGAAGGGCTTCGAGACAGGGACTGGAATTCCCTTGTTGCTTTGGTCATCCATCTTAGAGTACAGTTTTTCCCCTATCAAGTCTGCCTGTTTCAAGGACTTAATAATTTTTCTTCTGCCTTTGTTCTCCATATCACTTCTCATTATCCCTCATGATCATTATCCACTCTTTTTCAGATCAGATTTCTAAATATTCTGATGTAAATGTCTTTGGGAAGATACTTATTCTTCAATCTTTCTAAAAGTGAATGTTCCATTATTTTTGATAACCTCTTATCTCTAGTGCACAGCATAATGCTTAGAGTATATCATCCATCAGTAAATATTAGCCTGATGAGTGTAAGTGATTTGGGAAGAAAAGGCAAAAGAAAAAAAAAAATTCCTAATTGCCTAAAGTTCATTGACAAGCACTGGAAACAAATACTGAGTCACCTTCCTCTGGGACCTCAGCTGCAACAAATGTTAATACTTTGCCAAAGGGAAAAGGCATTCTTAGCTTAACATAACCTTCCCCTGGGAGTTCAGATGCCTCATTGTTAATACTTTGCTAAGAGCAAAAGGCAATTTTAGCTTAACATTTTCCCAACACCCCAGGGTCCTCTAAATCTACTTTAACATATAAAAATTCCTTTTGAAATTTCCTTTATCTCTATCCCTCAAGATGCATGTTCACAATCATCCTCCAAACATATGACTCATTGATCGCCATCTGAAGGGTCTCATGATTGAGTTTTAACTAAACAGTAATAAATGACCTTTTCCTAACTATAGCTAGTCCCCTCAAGGTTCTAAAAACCTTGTTTCCAAAATACCTGGGATGCTTATGCTATCCTTAACCCACACAACTTGAAAGTAAATAATGAGCAGCTCCTCATGACCCCAGTGCAGCTCTTTCTGCTCATGGATCCTATCCCCATGCTTTAATAAAACCATCTTTTTGCACCAAAGATGTCTCAAGAATTTTATCTTGGCTGTTGGCTCTAAACCCCAACATCTTCCCTACATCATAAACACTGACTCTGAACAGGATTTCTAGCAAAATTTCTGCCAACTCATTCTGCATGTTAAACTGAGAATAGCGATAGGTGTCCTAACCATCAGATTTTGCTTGTTTACTATGGATGTATGTGTTGCTTTAAAGTAGTAACATTTGTCAGTTTCCTTATCTTGAACATCTGCGTAAAGACAAAGTTTGTAACAAACCTAGAAACATCTATTTATCATTCCAGTAATTTACTTTTTTTCATGATTTATATTCATCCATACCTTCCCCTAGAAAAAACTCACATAGCAATTACCTATCAGTATATTGCTTATCTACCTACTTATGTATCTTCTATTACCTATCATCTATCTATCCATTATCTATCTATCTCTCTCATCTATCTTTCTATTATTTATCTATCTTACTATCTGATAGCTATAATTTGAGTTCTTACACACTCAAAGCAACATTTAGAATTTTGCTTGCAATATCTCCTATTTTTTCAATAATCATGTGATGTAGGTGTAATTATATGCAGTCTGAGAGGAGATAAATGAATTTGCCAAAGTCAGTAAGTTACTAAGTGATAGCAACATATTTGAATTATTGAGTTAATGTTAATCATTTCTCTTTTGTGGCAACTAAAATGTATTATTTAAAATAAGTCAGTAGAATATAAATAAGTCAATTAAAAAATTCTTTAAATTAACATATAATGTATTATTTGTTTCAGGGGTACAGGTCTGTGAATCATCAGTCTTACACAATTCACAGCACTCACCATAGCACATACCCTCTCCAAGGTCCCCAACGTCCATCATCCAGCCATCCTATCCCTTTCACCCCTCTCCCTTCAGCAACCTTCAGTTTATTTCATGAGATTAAGAATCTTTTATAGTTTATCTCCCTTCCCTGTCTCATCTTGTTTCATTTTTTTCTGCTTCTCCCCACAACCCCTCACCCTGCCTCTCAAGTTCCTCATTTCAGAGAGATCATATGATAATTGTCTTTCTCTGATTGGCTTATTTCACTTAGCATAATACCCTCTAGTTCCATCCAACAACATCCATTTGTTGCAAATGGCAAGATTTCATTTCTTTTGATGGCTGCATAGTATCCCATTGTATATATATACCACCTCTTCTTTATCCATTCATCTGTTGATGGACATCTAGGTTCTTTCCATAGTTTGGCTATTGTGGACATTTAAATAAACCAAACTTTATCATTGTTTTTATTTCATTTCTAAAAATACATGCTTAAATGTAAAATCTGGGAGAGAGAGTTCTATTCTATTATGGATATATCAGTTCTTACAGAAATAGAATACAAGTTGAATAAAAAGTATAAGAAACCAAACTAATGAAATTTGGATTTAGAAAACCAAAAGGGCCATATATACTTATCATTATATAAAGGATATGAGAAAAGTGCTCCAGCGCAGTAGATGATTGTGGCTAGGTACACTTTAAATTTTATCTTTTCTATATATATTGTGTGTGAGAGCTTTTATATACATAGACTTATATTTATATATACATGTATATAGCAAATAATTAATTACATTAAATAGCATATACATTATCTGTATAAGCATTTATATAATGACAAGCTAATAGCAAACATAAATATAAAATTTATTTATTCAGGGGCTCGGGTAACTTCTGGAATCTTCTAACTATTCCATTTAGGCAAGATATAGTTTTCAGCGCTGTGGGTCTCAGAGAAGGTGATTCCACTGAGAGTGTCCTTCCATGCTGCTCATCTGGAGGCATCAGAAGAGGCCAGAGATCCATGTACTTTAAGAAGTATCATGGCATCATCTTGAAGGACAACCCCTGCTGTATAATCTTTGCCAATTCTCTGGTTATATCATAGTGCTTTTGTGGATTAACTACACAGTTGACAGTACAGCTGATTTTAGATCTTCTTGTAATTTAGTTCTCTTATATTTAAAAACAAAGAGTTGAAAATAAGGCTTGAATTTAATTTTTCAATTTCCTTTCACTTGCCATTAGTGTCCGTCATGCTGGTATCACTTTCCTATAGAACTTTAGAGACAGACAGAAATTTTTTAGAGCTTAAATGCTTTTGTATGTATTTCCTTGTGGGGTAGAATCATAAGCAACACTGAAAAAAAATTAAGAATCTAATCAAGCTCCTACTTTATAAATGAGGAGACCTTTGGGTCCTGGGTGGCTCATTGGTGAAGCATCTGCCTTGAGCTCAGGTCATGATCTCAGGGTCCTGGGATCTTCCAGATTGGATTCCCTGCTCATTGGAGGTCTGCTTCTTCCTCTCTTACCCACTGCCCTTCCCCCGTTCATGCTCTCCCTCTCTCTCTCTCTCTCACAAATAAATAAATAAAATCTTTAACAATAAATAAACAAATGAGGAGACAGATTCAGCAAAATAATAATTTCTTCAAGGACACAATGCTACATATATTTCTATTTGTCTTTAAGAAATACCGGATTATCCTGTCCCTTCTAATCCCCTTATTTTTTTCATCCCAGAGTTCAAGATAAGGAATTACCAAATGGCAGAAGAGAATTTCACAGCTGTTACTGAATTCATTCTTTTGGGACTGACAGACTGTGCTGACCTGAAAATTATATTTTTTGTGTTGTTCTTGGTGATTTATGCCATTACCTTCGTGGGGAATCTGGGCATGATCTTCATAATCCAAATCACTCCCAAGCTCCACACACCCATGCACTTTTTCCTCAGCTGCCTTTCATTGGTAGATGCCTGCTATTCCTCTGTTATTGCACCAAAAATGCTGATCAGCTTCTGGGTTGTGAGGGAAACCATCTCATTCTCTGCCTGCATAATGCAGCATTTGTGTTTTGGAGTGTTTATCACCGCAGAAGGCTTCTTGTTGTCAGTGATGGCCTATGACCGATATGTGGCCATTGTCAACCCTTTGCTTTACAGTGTAGTCATGTCTAAGAGGAAGTGTGTAGGGCTGGTCATTGGGTCATTCATAAGTGGAATGATTAACTCATTGACACACACAATAAGCTTGGGCAGACTGTCTTTTTGTGGATCCAATGTTGTCAGCCACTTCTGTGACATTCCCCTACTCCTAAAGCTGTCATGTTCTGATACTTCCACGAACGAATTGTTGCTCTTAACCTTCTCTGGAGTCATTGCCATGGCCACCTTCTTGATTGTGATAATTTCCTACATGTTCATTGTTTTTGCTATCCTGAAGATCCGGTCAGCAGCAGGCAGACAGAAAGCCTTCTCCACCTGTGCCTCCCACCTGACTGCTGTGACCATATTCTATGGTACCTTAAGCTTTAGTTACATCCAGCCAAGTTCCCAGTATTCCGTATAACAGGAGAAGGTGGTTTCTGTGTTCTATACACTAGTGATTCCCATGTTAAAACCACTTATTACAGTCTGAGAAACAAAGAGGTAAAGGATGCTGTGGGAAGGGCCATAGAAATGAAACATTTCCCTTGTTAATTTCAACAGGTTCCCTGCTAACCTACAACAGTCTACCAGTCAGTTCTTACCTCAGTGAATTTCATGAAATTGTTTGTCATTGAAAGAGCTGCTGGAAACCAGAGGTGTCAACAGAAACCAAGTGGGGAATATGGACATATATTTTCATCTGGCAGCCATAAGATGGTTCCCTCCTTCCCCTGCTAGAGCATTGTCAGAGAAAGTCAATTAAACAGGAATTATAATATAAAACCCAGTGTCTTATAATATAAAAATGCTCAAGTTTCAGATGTTAGAGACACCAGACACAAAGGTACAAATATTGTATAAGTACACTTATATGACATGCCTGGATGGGGTGAAGTCATAGGGGCAAGAAAGACATTGTTGTTGCTTGAGGCTGGGGTTTGGAAGTATTGACAGGAAGTGAAGGCTAACTACTAATAAGCACAAGTCCTCTTTCTGGGATAATGAAATGTCAAACTGTGCTGTTGGTTGTACAACTCTGTGAATACATCATAATCACTGAATTATTTAATAAGTACTAAATTCTTTTTTTTTTTTTTTAAGATTTTATTCAGTTTCTTGAGAGAGAGAGAGCACATGAGCCTGGCTTTGGGGGGCAGAGGGAGAAGCAGACTCCCTGAAGAGCGGGAGCCCAATGTGGGACTCAATCTCAGGACACTGTGATCATCACCTGAGTCAAAGGCAGCTCCTTAACCGACTGAGCCACTCAAGCGCCCCAATAGGTATTAAATTCTTTATGGATAGACAAAATATGTCAAATTTGCTGACTTTGTAAAAAATAAAACCTTGAAAGATATCTTTTTACTGTTCTATTTCTAAATCACTTTTTAAAAAATAAGTCTAAAAATGTGGTAGAATGAAAAAAAAATAAAATAAAAATAAGTCTATAATTTTTATGGAATCAATGTGCACTGTCATGGCTGAGGAAGAATTCTATGAAGGGGTAGGTTTTTAAGATGCCAACATTTTCTATGTCAGAATAAAATCTGTATTTTTCCTTTGTCTACTCTATGGTTGACCTATTTCTATTATTCTGAGTTATAAACCAGTTTATTGAGCTATGAATTATATTAATAATCAGATTCCTCTGACCATATATTTTGCTATTATTTCATGCATCCCATCATGATATTTAAAGAATATCATGCAAAATACTTTAATCCTTATCATCAAGGAGACAATAAAAGTAAGATTGACTGTAAATATAATAAGAACTTCTGTTCAGATACGACACAGGAAAGAATGGGAAGTCATGCCCACACTGTTCCAGAATGTGTCACTCACACATACTACAAATTTGAATAGAGTTTCTCCTGTAACATGACTTCTGAGGCTTCTCTACCTCCCTGCATTCCTATCCAACTCTCTAGTGGTTCCTCTTTCTCCAGGGAATGCTGAGATATACATGGTGCCCATTGTCATTTCCCATATCCTTCTTCTTTCCCAATGGTGCTCTTCTCCAATTAAGAAATCATGTGCAGATGTAGTTAAACACCTGGGAGTATTATGATTATTGTGGGTCATTAAGTATTTAATGAATCACATATCATTCCTTATTCTAAATAAAATAACATTTAACTTTTATACTAAAGCTTCTCAACTAGTAATCTCTCTCTCATATTTTCAGGAGCTCTTTCAATGACAACCTGTATAGGCTGATTAATAAATTTTTTTTATTAGATTGATAGAACTATAGCTTATTATTTGTCTCCGTATAATCACTGTGGTGGGCAGCCTTTGGATGCTTACATGAATCAGGGCAATCTTCAATATATTGTATTTCTTTGAGGAGAATGGCATGCTCTAAAATAATGTTGGCCAACCTTGCCAACTGCATGTGATGGTCTGCCTATCCCCACTGTATCATTTAGGAATGTTTTTCCCATACATGTAATGGATCACTCCACAAATACTGGCTGAAGATAGAGAGTTTCATTTAAAAATAAGTGATGGGGGGCGCCTGGGTGACTCAGTCGTTAACTGTCTGCCTTCAGCTCCTTCAGTCCTAGGATCAAGCCCTGCATTGGACTCCTTGCTCTGCGGAAGGCCTGCTTCTCCTTCTCCCACTCCCCCTGCTTGTGTTTCCTCTCTCACTGTGTCTCTCTCTGTCAAATAAATAAATAAAATCTTAAAAAAAATAAAAATAAGTGATGGATTGTTGAGATTCATGGCTTTCACTAGCTCCATAGCACAACAATATCGGAGTCAATATATTCTTTTGTCCTAAGTGGATTTCCCAAAGGGCTGAAGCTCAGATAAAATTTCTGCAAAGCCGAAGGAGCAGAAGATGGTAGAGAACAAGTATTTCCCTACAGGCCTCTCTTTAATTTGGGAAGGAATATCTATCTCTCATACTGTCCCTAGTAGAATTCCTATGACAAATCATCAACGGTAGACTTTTGGTATTTTTTGGAATTCTACTTCTTCTCCTCCTTACCCTTCATTTCTCAAAGGCAGCCAAATATCTTAGAACAGAAATCATTTCCTAAAATAAAAACCTCCTTGTTCGTTTCTTTTCAGGGTGTTTCTGACAACATAATGCCAATTCTTGTCCTTCTGATGTATTACAGATTTACTCAGGCTTTGTCCTGCATTCACTTTACTATGGCTTTCTATTTGACCAACATTACTCATATAAAATGCCTGATTAGTTAAGTACTGAGTTAATTTATTTATTTTTCACTAATTTTATGTTTTTTTGAATTCTTTTTCTTTCTTAAATATCTTACATATTTATTTGACAGAGAGATTGAAAGAGCACAGAAGTTGGGGAAGGCAGAGGGGGAAGGAGACTCCTCGCTGAGCAGGGAGCCCGAATGGAGCTTGGTCCCAGGACCCAGGGATCATGACCTGAGTCAAAGGCAGAGCCTTTACCGACTGACCCAACCAGGTGCCCCTTAAATTCTTTTTCTATGCAGATATGGCTTTCACTATTTTATTAATCTCTCTGCTGTTCCTCCTCTTCTAATCTGACATCTGGCAAAGTGACAGGTTACTCTCTGTCATCTTTGGGATGACATCAGTGAAGCATAAAAATGACATTAAGAGACAATTCTTAAAGGCATGAAGTCTCCAGTATGAACTAAACCTCCCGGCTTTGAACCTAACACCTCATGCCTTGGTGTGTACTCTGACAATTAACTTCTCTGAAATAATATTTCATAATATAAAAAGTAAAAATTTTAATATACTCTATTTCAGACATCTGTTTTGAGGAAAATTAATCCATACTTGAAGGATGCCTGTTATATAGTACCCCAAAATGAGATATTATTACCCAATAGTTTTTATGACAATCACACAGATTCTTTCAAGTAGATCAACAGTTTGATAATATTTATCATCCCATGACACTGTTCATGAAGTATTTTTTTTTTCTATTTTGAGATTATTTTTTAGAGAAGTTCTAGCTTCACTGCAAACTTAAGAAGAAGAACAGAGATTTCCCATATATTCCCTGACCCAACAAATGCCTAGTCTTCCATCCCATTACCCACATCCCCCACTAGAGTGGTACGTTTGTTACAATCCATGAACCTACACGGTTACATCATTTTCACTGAAACTCCATCATTTACAACAGGGTTTCCTTTGGGGTTTTACTTTTTCTTTTTCTTTTGTAATTTTGTTTTATTTTATTTTTTCAGTGTTCTAAGATTCACTGTTTATGCACCACACCCAGTGCTCCATGCAAGGAGTTTGACCTTCTATTGCTTTGAACAAATATATAATGACTTGTCTCTACCATTATCGTTTCATACAAAGTATTTCTGCTGCCCTAAAATTTTTCTTTGCTCCTCTATTCATCCCTTCCTCTGCTCTAATTCCTATCAGTGATTGATCTTTGTACTGTCTCCATAGTTTTGCCTTTTTCAGAGTGTTGTATAGTTGGAAGTTGGAATCATACATCTGTTCACTTAAGGTTGCACCATATCTTTTCATGGCTTGGTAGTTCCTTTTTACTGCTGAATACTATTCCATTGTCTGCATGTGTCCTAGCTGGCTTACCCATACACCTACTGAAGGGCATCTGGGTTGCTTTGCATCAGCCCTTTCAAAATTTTATTTCAATGAATTCTTTTTATTAAATGACCATTGGTTAAACAGATAATTTTATTGCATAATGGTGAACAAACCAAATATTACAAAGAAATAACTTCAGTAAAATCCCAGAACTATTAAGAAGAATAAGGAAATGAGCAAATGGGAAATCAAAAATAAAAATAAGTGCATGGGAAAATGTGGAGTGATGTGGAGCAACTACGCACAAAAGGCAAGATCAGTATGTCTTTGCCATCTATCAGTCCTCATTCACCTTAGATATGTGGCATAGTGGGAGGATGGGGTGGCTGGAGGATGGACAATGGGGAAGGTGTGTGCTCTGGTGAGTGTTGTGAATTGTGTAAGACTGATGAGTCACAAACCTGTACCCCTGAAACAAATAATACATTATATGTTAATTAAAAAATAAAAATTTTTAAAAAAGAAAGAAATGTGACATAGTGCAAATGACAGGATTATTTCCCTCAGATTCCACCAAGTAGGACAATCAATAAATGTAGTTAGATGATGACAACCAATTAAAATATAGTATGCAATCAATATTGATAAATATTGGGAAAGATCAATCTAAGGAAAGAGAGGCAATACAATTAATGCACTGTAGAATAGTCCTCTTATGCAAGGATACAAAAACAACAGAGGCATGCCTTTTAAGTATGGATAATTACTCTTTTTAAAAAAGATAAGGAAATGTTACAATATTCTAAACCAAACAGCCAGTTATTAAGAAAGAACAGGAGCTCCTTGGTTAAGTGTTGGACACTTGGTTTTGGCTCAGGTCATGATCTTATGGGTTATGAAATAGAGCCCCACATCTGGGTCCACACTCAGCTTGCAATCTGATTGAAGATTCTCTCTCTCTGTGCCTCCCCCACCGAATAAATAAACAAATCTGAAAGATAAGAAAGAAATAAAGAGAAAGAAAGATAGAA